TTCTTAATAAGACTTACATGGAGTAAATTAATTTGTAGAATATTAACACTGTAAACCATGATCATTAGTAATGATTATAGTTCTGAATTCATGCCCAATTCATTTTGAGGGGGTGCTAATCACGCCGCAGACTGTGGTAGCCCAGGTTCCGCGTGTCCCAATACCTAATTATTTCTATTGTCATTTTATGGGAAATCTAGTTAGTGTATAATTACTCTTTTATCCTATTAACAAAATATATTTTTCTCTCTAAAATCTCCCCCCTCTCAAACCCTCCTCACCCTTCCTCAGTGTAAATTTTTTTTCCCGATGATTAACCCATGGTGAAATTCGGCAGATTCGGAACCAATTTACAGACAAAATGTAAAACTCGCACACCAAATTATTAACTTCAACACCACGTAAAGATACCAAAGCTTACACAAAGCCAAAGACCCATTTGTCTTCTTCAACCACCATCACCACTACCAACCGGCAAATCCATCCCTTCGGTGAGTCACCACCACCATCTATTTTCAATTAGATTCACCCCATGATTACCATAAACATCTAACACAAACAAACTCAAAAAAACCCAAAGTCTCCATTATTCAAAAAAAAAAAAAAAATGCAAAGTCTCAACCCAAATCAAATATCAGCAGATCTGAAAAAAAAAAAAAAAAAAAACGCGTTCATACATGTGACAGAACGAGTCGAATCATGGTGTGTTCGGAATCTGAAAATCCATCAGAAGAGCTGTTTGCTGGTCTCACAAGGCCTTAGCATGTTCCGCGACACTACTCCCACTAGTGTTTGGTCTTCTTTCACTGGTTGATTAGTTATCTCCATGGTAGAAATTGAAATCGAGAGACAGATTTGGCTTTTGTGTTAAATTGGTAATAGGATAAAAGAGTAATTATCCACTAATCAGATTCCCCATAAAAATTGACGAAACAAAGTAATTAAGTCTTGGGACACGTAATTACACGTGCCCACCAACCAAACTAGCGCGACTGCACCCTTCATTAATTTTTTGAATAGATAAAGCAATTTTTGTGTTTAATTAACTCCATTTATTTTATTGAGAAATACTTAAATCAAGAAAAATTATTGAACTGTGAGAATGAGACCTTCATGGCTAATTGTAAATATAGTCTGCATCCCTTATTAAGGGAGAAAAAGTTGAAAATAAATAAATAAAAAATTATAGACAAGTGCATTATTGAATCCTATACTTGCCTAATTAATACTTATTTTTTTTGCTCTTAATTAATTAATTAAAACTTGATGGGCCTCAAAAAACTATTGTACAATAACCAACTCCATGATAGATCCAAGCCCATCTTGTTATTTCAAATTTACTACTAGGCCTCAAAAAACTCCGTGTGCAATAAGCAAATGCAAATCCATGATAGATCCAAAACCCATCTTGTTTATTTCAAATTTACAATACTTTTTCTATACTAAGCAAGTGCATGATAGATCCAAGCCCATCTTGTTCGTTATCATCCCTAAAGCCCAACACTTCTCTCAATCTTAATCTGGAAATTTAAATCTTTATATATAGAAACTCGAAGATTCTCTCAATAAACATGTAAAACTTTTCTTTCAAGACACATTCTCATATAAAAAAAAGGAAAAGAAAATTAATGTATTGCAAATAGCAATTTTTTTTACATAATTTATTTCCTTATATAAAATTTAAGCAGCCTATAAATTAATAACTCACAAATAACTATTAAATGATGAGTACTTCGATCTCTCTCTTTTAACACAAAGGTTTGAGATCCTCATCAGCCATTTTTTCTTTCTTTGTCTTTGTGTGTTCTTATTACAAGTGAAGATCAAATATATATACAAAAGGTGAGTAATTTTCAATCTCATTTTTGTGTTTAAATTTGTATATTTAATATATATCTTTCTTATGAATAAGTATGCTTTCTTTTTATCTGTAGTTAGGACTATTTACTGCACACTATTTAGACCTGAAAAGTGTATTCCTGATTCTTTTTTCTCCTTTTGTTTAGATCTCATATAGTGCCAAAACTATACAATTTTTATTAACTTTTATGTAATATTGTTTCCGTTTCCTCGTATTCCTTGGCCACCCTTTCTTTGTTTATTACTCTTATCTTTCTCTCTTTTTGATGAGGATCAGTAGATCTAGTTCAAAAGCCATTTATATATATATAAAAGTAGATCTTAGCCTATGATTTAATAGACTCTTTTTTTAAAGGGTTAAGTGTAAAAAAAAAAAAAATTCCTGTAAATAGGTCCCTTGACATAAAATAACAATAATACTCATAAATTAATAACTATATATACCAGCCACGGATTCACATATAACTATAATCAACGGTCAACAATCAGGCACGTTCTAAAACCAACATTATGAACTTCTTTTTATTGGTCACATTTAAAAATAAAAAATAAAAAACAAACAAACGGAGAGAAATCCAATCTCTTTTCAACTTTTGAAATAAAAACCCAACGCCGCAGAAAAAGCAATTCCGGGTACTTCTTTTTCCAATCCCTCTCTGCGTTGAATTTTCTAATTTAAGACTGCGAATCAGATTTCGAAATTTCTCTGGGTTTTTTTTTTTTTTTTTTGTTCTTCCCTTCATGTAAATTTCTGAGGATTTTATCTGAAATTTGAAAGAAAGGTACGGATTTATTGAAGGGTTTATGATGAAAATCATGGCAGAGGCTAATGTGTTTTCACCAGGCTATTGTTTACATCATCAACTTCAACAATTTCCCAGAAAGTTAGATTGCAAATCGGCGGCCCCTGTTTCTTCTAGAATTGGGTTTCCTTCCTCTCCGAAGCCCGATAACCCTAACATCATCATCCATCAATGATTTTCATGACCATAGAATCGTCGTTTAGAGGCGTCAAGCCATACCCACAAGAGGAAATTACCAACTTCTTAATCCACAGGTCTGTTGCTGCTCAATCTCTCCCTCCTCCCCACCATGGCCGCCGCCTCCTCCCACCTCCTCCCACTGCCCACAACCATCCCTCTCCTCTCTAAACCCATCAACAATATACGCACAACCGGCCACCACCATCGCTTTGCAAAACCGCCACCACCGTCCCCACACATAATCACACGATTTAGGGTATTCCATTGTGTTTACCCTAACATAATTTTAATTATAAAACAGAAATCAACTAGAACAGTTTCAAGACCTGCAAAGATTTGCTCACAGAGTTGCTTCTCTTTGGGAAAGAAAATTCGAACACAAAACTTGGCTGCACGTATCCACTGTTTGATCTTCACCTCCAACACTTGCCACTCCAACCTCCAGAGATCTTTAATGCTCAATTTGTCGATGCCAAGACGTTGAAGACTCCAAAATTCCAAAAAAAAAAAAATTATAATTATAATTATAATTTTATTTTATGCGTCTATTGAAATGATAAAAATTTAAAAAAAAAATTACTTGTATGAGGAATATATATATCATATATCATAAGACACACTTAACCACGTAACCATTTTTTTACCCCAGAGAGGGAGAGACAGAGAGGGGGTAAAATGGAAATTAAAAGGATAAAATAGAATTTTCATATGGGTGAATTACATTAAACCTCTTTTTTCTATATGTGTTTTTTACTAAATTCCTCATTTTTTTATTTTTTTATCAATAAACCCTCCTCAACTATTAGAGGGGGTGATTTAACAACAACTATTAGAGGGGGGTGGTTTAACAACGGAAGTTAGCTGAAAGGGAGTTGTTTGGGCATTTAGTTTCTCATATACCCTATTTTAATATACACTCACATATATATCTACTCCATTAAGTGATAGGCCACATATCTTCCACCATTGCAACAATACGTACCCTTCCATCATTATAATATTATATATAATTTGTATCATAATATAATGGTATATATAATATGAACCATTAAATATTATTTATACTATATTTTCATTTCTATCCAGTCTTCAGACCAATATAAATTTAAGTTTTTTTCTTGAAATTTATCTGCTATATATATATATATATATATATATATATATATAAGAATTATATTGTGCATTATTAATTTTCATTTTAGATAGATTTATTAAAGGGACACTAAGAGAAATAATGCCTAATTTTTTTCTTTTTTATATTAATATTTATGCCAACATGTTTTCTCCTTCTTCTTCGTCTTTTTATTTTTTTATATTTCAATATCATTTTTTTTTTATAAAAAAATAAAAAATTCCTTTTATGTGACTAATGTGAACTTGTCAGTTTAGTAAAATATTAAAACAAAAAAAAAAAAACCTTTATATTTAAGTTTTCTTTCAACTAACTTCCGTTAGTTAAATCACCCCCTTAAATAGTTGAGGAGGGTTTTTTTGGCAAAAAAATAAAAAAAGAGGGTTTAATGAAAAACACAGATAAAAAAGGAGGGTTTAATATAGTTCACCTTTTTCATATTTAGTTTTGGTCAAAATATGATCAGAGGGCTTATTTGCACTTTTTTTTATTTTTATTTTTAGACTAACATGTACATTTTTAAAAAATAGATACAAATTTTGCACAAATCTTATCTATCAGGGATTTTTTTTGGCACTTAACCCTTTTTTAAACTTCCAGTGGATATAAATAATCTCATCTGCATAATTATGCCCACTTTGTTTACCAAAATCACTAATTCAAAACATTCAGAATAAGATGGAGTGAATCAATTTGTAGAATATTAACACTGCGCCACATGTATACCATGATCATCAGTATGATTATAGTTCTGAATTCATGTTCAATTGCAATCTTTTTGTGTTTAATTAACTCCATTTATTTTATTGAGAAATACTTAAATCAAGAAAAATTGAACTGTGACCTTCAATGGGTAATTGTAAACATAGTCTGCATCCCTTATTAAGGGAGAAAAAGTTAAAAATAAATAAATAAAAAATTTTAGACAAGTGCATTATTGAATCCTATACTTGCCTAATCAATGCTTATGTTTCTTAATTAATTTATTAATTAATGTGTGCTATATATGCAAGTTATTCATAGAGATGGCCAAAACAGTGTTCAGCTATGTGATAAGAATCCTAGTCATGCTCGCAACTCTTATAGCAGCTATTGTAATGGGTACAAGCCATGAATCGGTTGACATGATCACTTTCACCTTCGAAGCAAAGATCAGCAATTGGCCGGTTCTGAAGTACGTGTGTGCTTCATCTACCATGCATTTTGATTTCATATATTAATTAATATATATATATATATATGCCAAATTGTCTTCTCTCGTGTGTTTCACTGATTGATAGCTGCTTTATATATAATGTAGGTACTTTGTCATTGTAAATTACATAGCAGCTGGTTATAACTTACTTGTTCTGTTCCTTCCCTCTGGTAGTAAGCAATGGCGATTAATTGTGGTCTTGGATATGGTAATTATAACCATTTATCTCTCTTTCTTCTATCCATTAATTACCTGACCACTCTACCTAGTTAGTGCATAATTAGGTATATAGTAGTTATATATATATATATATATTTATTAATGGTTTGGATGATTTGTTTGTACCACCAGATTATGGTTTTGGTAATCGCTTCAGGGTGTTTCTTAGCGGGTGAGGACCTTTATATAATGAAAAAAGGGAATGCACATGTAGGCTGGACAGCCATCTGTGGCCTAGTCCCCGCTTTCTGCAACCATCTAACCGGAGCTCTTGCCGTTGGTGCACTTGGAGCCATAGTCCAGATTTTGCTCACTTTGTATACCTACCATGTTATTATCAATCCTCTACTCATGTAGCACAAGGTTTTTATTATTTTTATTTTTTTAATTTAATTTGGAGAAATATTGAGTTTAAACTCATGCGGGGGAGAATATTAATGGTTGTATGGTACTTGAAATTCATTGTTAGTGTTTATAGAATTATGCATGACGTTTGACAAAATATATAACAGTACATGCTCTGCTATTAAGTACAAACGTTCTTGTTTGTCAATGTCAAAATGTTTTTCATATTCATTGGGTTTTGAAATATATTGTTTGGGCTATCTTAGGGACCGTCTTGTGGATTGGGTAACAAGACAATGTGTCAAGCAACCACCATTTATGTCCAAAATATATATCTTCTAAACTAACATTTATGAATATTCCATATTACGCGCGTTTTTTCTTTTCATGGTGGCATTGTGCTTAGGAATGATCAAGGTGTGTGTGTTTTAGTGGCTTCCCTGTTCTGCAGTTTCACATCAGTCTCAGTTGTCTATACTCCTAGAAGCAAAGATTGTATTCCTTCGGCTTAGTGATGCAGTGAAGGTACCAAAAATGAGTACAATCCATATCATTAAAGATTGGATCAGAAAAGAACATTTAAAGATTGGATCAGGAAAGAATATTTAGCCCAATCGGATGACCGCCCATCAGGCCCAATATCTATTTAGACAATCTCCAAACCCAATCTCAAAGCAAAAGAAATGGACCGGTGTCCAAGAGGAGCCCAATATAGAGGGGGAAAATTGAGAGAGACTGAAAACCTCAAATAACTAAAATTTTTTCAAACATAAAACTAACATGTATTCAATAATTAAATTAAAAAAAAAAAATTACAAAATGAAGAATGCGGATCCTCTCACATTTTCCCACTATTCAAATCTAAAAAAATGAATCCCTTCAGTTTCTTTTTTTTTGTGCAAGAATATTTGGTCCACAAAAAGAAAAAGAATATATTTGTCATAAATCAAGTAGTTGGAGGGTAACAGACAATTTTCAGAATTTTGTTTAAGTGTTTTATTTATTACAGTACTGGGAGTAAAATTTAAAATGTTAGTAATTGGATAGTAACTACAGCGCAAATTAAGGGTATGTTGGCAAGAATAAAGTTGGAGCCGGGTCTAATCCTTATCCGACCTTGTAACTTCGATACCATAATTGCCTTTATATTATTCATTAAAAACACGTTTCTTGCACATTCAGCATTATATAAAATAGCTTTCCTCTTGCAGAGACAAGAGCTTTCCTCTTTCAAAGAGCTTAAATTTTTTTTTTTTTTTGTTTCTCTCTCTCTCTCTCTCTCTCTCTATATATATATATATATATATATATGTATCATTCTTCTCTCTTTAGGAAATCTCCTTGTCTTCCATTTATTCATCTGCGAACCCTAGTCTTTTCCATCCGTATCACGATCGCTCGCTCGCTCGCTCAAACCACGAATCACATTTTGGATCTCCTATTATGGCTTCTGTATCTTCAGGTCGTAACCATTCGGGTTCGAAAGTTGTTATAGGAGAAACAAATTTTTTATTTTGTTTTTAAACAAATAACTCTTTAAATTACAAAATAGTTACAACTAAACCCACTATCATCAATTTGACGTTAAAACATTAGTGAGAGGAAGGCGGAGGTTGACTCATAATTACATAATTAGCCATGTGCATGTGCTCTGCACATGACTAATATTGTTCTTGTTATATTATACGATACCCGGCACAACAGATCATTCTCCATCAAGGATCTATCTTGAAGGCGGTTGCTGCTTGTGGTGAACAATCTTCGTTTCAGGTACTACTTTCTAAACCCTAATTGTGCATCTTCTCTACCCTGGCACACAACTATGGTATTCATCAAATTGACAGACAATAAAACCCTAGCCCTACATTTAGATCCCAATACAACCTCATTCGAAACCCTAAAACTCGAAATTCAACATAAATCGGGCGTCCCCCTCGCCCTCCAACGCCTCTTCTTGTCCCCACGCCGATTAATCGCAATAAACGACTCCATTCCTATATCTGATCTCGGCGTCCAACCCAATTCGACCTTAACACTACACGTCCCTCTCGTTGGAGGCATGCAAGCCCCCGTGCCGCCTAAGAACAGATTAGAGTTCCTCAATACGAAGCCTCCCCCGAACTATGTTGCCGGACTGGGCCGTGGTGCTACTGGGTTCACTACACGGTCTGATATCGGTCCAGCTCGTGCCGCCCCTGACCTCCCTGATCGGTCCGCCACCACAATCGGCGGTGCAGGAGCGCCCGGGGTTGGTCGCGGAAGGGGTAAAGGGCCTGGTGAGGAAGAAGAGGAGGAGGAAGCTGACGAGAAGGGGTATGATGAGAATCAGAAGTTTGATGAGTTTGAGGGGAATGATGTCGGTTTGTTTGCATCAGCGGAGTATGACGAGGATGACAAAGAAGCTGATGCAGTGTGGGAGGCAATTGATAAGCGGATGGATTCCAGGAGGAAGGATAGGCGGGAGGCGAGGCTGAAGCAAGAGATTGAGAAGTACAGGGCCTCTAACCCGAAGATCACTGAACAGTTTGCGGATTTGAAGAGGAAGCTTTATACACTGTCAGCGAACGAGTGGGATAGTATTCCCGAAATTGGAGATTATTCATTGAGGAATAAGAAGAAGAGGTTTGAGAGTTTTGTGCCCGTGCCCGACACACTTCTTGAGAAGGCAAGGCAGGAGCAAGAACATGTTACTGCATTGGATCCAAAGAGTAGGGCTGCTGGAGGAACAGAGACACCGTGGTCTCAAACCCCAGTTACAGATTTGACTGCGGTGGGTGAGGGGAGAGGTACTGTGTTGTCATTGAAGTTGGATAGGCTTTCTGACTCAGTATCGGGGTTGACTGTTGTTGATCCCAAGGGGTATCTCACTGATCTTAAGAGTATGAAGATTACTAGTGATGCAGAGATATCGGATATAAAAAAAGCTAGATTGTTGCTTAAGTCGGTTACTCAGACAAATCCAAAGCACCCTCCTGGTTGGATTGCAGCTGCGAGATTGGAGGAAGTTGCGGGTAAGATTCAGGCAGCGAGGCAGTTAATAACAAAAGGTTGTGAGGAGTGCCCCAAGAATGAGGATGTTTGGTTGGAGGCTTGTCGGTTGGCAAGTCCTGACGAAGCCAAGGCTGTGATAGCCAAGGGAGCGAAGGCGATTCCCAATTCTGTGAAGTTATGGATGCAGGCTTCAAAGTTAGAACACGATGATGCTAATAAGAGTAGGGTCTTGAGAAAAGGGCTTGAACATATACCTGATTCTGTTAGGCTTTGGAAGGCGGTTGTGGAGCTTGCCAACGAGGAGGATGCTAGGCTCTTGCTCCAGAGGGCTGTGGAATGCTGTCCCTTGCATGTGGAGTTATGGCTTGCTCTTGCCAGGCTAGAAACTTATGATAATGCCAAGAGGGTTCTTAATAAGGCGAGGGAGAAGCTATCTAAGGAGCCTGCTATCTGGATTACTGCTGCAAAGTTGGAGGAAGCTAATGGGAATACTGCCATGGTTGGAAAGATTATAGAAAGGGGAATTAGGGCTTTGCAAAGGGAGGGATTGGAGATTGACAGGGAAGCTTGGATGAGGGAGGCTGAGGCTGCTGAAAGAGCAGGATCTGTTGCCACTTGCCAGGCCATAATTCGTAATACAATTGGGATTGGAGTGGAGGAGGAAGATAGGAAGAGGACGTGGGTTGCTGATGCAGAGGAGTGCAAGAAAAGGGGTTCTATTGAGACAGCCAGAGCAATCTATGCTCATGCTCTTACCGTGTTCTTAACCAAGAAAAGTATATGGCTCAAAGCAGCACAGCTTGAAAAGAGTCATGGGACCAGGGAATCCCTTGATGCTCTGCTTCGCAAAGCCGTAACTTACAGGCCACAGGCTGAAGTTCTGTGGCTAATGGGTGCCAAAGAGAAGTGGCTTGCTGGGGATGTGCCTGCAGCTCGAGCAATTCTCCAAGAAGCATATGCTGCCATTCCTAACTCGGAGGAGATTTGGCTTGCAGCATTCAAACTTGAATTTGAGAACCATGAGCCTGAGAGAGCAAGGATGCTTCTTGCTAAAGCCCGAGAAAGAGGAGGCACAGAAAGGGTTTGGATGAAATCAGCCATTGTCGAGAGAGAATTGGGAAACACTGCAGAGGAAAGGAGGTTGCTTGATGAGGGGCTGAAACTTTTCCCATCATTTTTCAAACTGTGGTTGATGCTTGGACAGCTGGAGGAACGGCTTGATCACTTGGAGCAAGCTAAGGAAACTTATGAGTTAGGCTTGAAAAACTGTCCTAGTTGTATTCCTCTCTGGCTTTCACTTGCTAACCTTGAAGAGAAGATGAATGGGCTGAGTAAAGCTCGAGCAGTTCTCACCATGGCCAGGAAGAGGAATCCCCATAACCCAGAACTTTGGCTTGCAGCTGTACGAGCTGAATCAAGGCATGGGTACAAGAAGGAAGCCGATATTCTGATGGCAAAGGCGTTGCAGGAGTGCCCCAATAGTGGTATTCTGTGGGCAGCTTCAATTGAGATGGTCCCTCGGCCCCAAAGGAAAACCAAGAGCATGGATGCAGTAAAAAGATGTGATCATGATCCCCATGTCTTTGCAGCTGTGGCCAAGTTGTTTTGGCATGAAAGGAAGGTGGATAAGGCTAGGACCTGGCTCAAAAAGGCTGTGACACTTGCCCCAGATATTGGGGATTTCTGGGCATTGTTATACAAATTTGAAATTCAGCATGGACCCGAGGAGGAACAGAAGGATGTATTGAAGAGGTGTATTGCTGCAGAACCAAAGCATGGTGAGAAATGGCAAGCAATATCGAAGGCCGTAGAGAATTCCCACCAGCCAACAGAAGCCATCTTGAAGAAAGTAGTGGTTGCACTTGGAAAGGAAGAGAGTTTGGCTGAAAATAGCAAACAGTAGTTTTCAGTGCTAGTAGTGAATGAAAGGATGTACTGTCTTTAGCCTTTACCTTTTTTACTAGTCTATTCTATGAACTCTAGAGGTTTTACTTATGATTCTGGTACCTTGACATCTACTGCTTTAGAGAGTTGAACTCTTGAAGCATTATTTAATATAATTATTGGATTTTAGTGTTGGAACTACTGTTATTGCGTTTTTTTAGCTGGTTAGTAAATCTTGCCCGTGTTTTTATTTTGGATTATGGGTGTGGATAACAGTTACATATGTTTCATTACTATTACATATATTTACTTTGGAATGAAGATCGTCATGAATAGTTCTTGAATTTTTAAGAGGCTAGCATAGGAGTGTAAGTGATTGGTGAAATTGAAAGATGATTTCTTTTTCTGGAATTTCATTTGCAGTTTGTTCAGGTGCTGCAAAGGATCTCCTAGGCTCAACCACATTTAGTGGCTTTCATTCTTGTTGATTTAACCATTATATTATTCTGTTTTTGGTAGGTATTTAATCATTGAACTTCTTATCTGGGTTTAGTCTCCCTTATTCTCTCTATGGATTTATCAGATCAATCTAGTCTAAATTCGTATTAATTTTTGTTTCTCCATTACATATGTTCTACTAAATTGTTTTCTGCATTTTTTTGGGAGAAGTGTAGAATCTGTGGATGTATACATTTGTTCTGCTTGATGATTTTTTCCCCCTAGTTTTCTGTTTGAGGAGATTTCCGTATGTCTTGTAGGAGATATGCTTCATTCTCTGTATTAGGTAAATTTTTGAACGAAAAACATAAAAGAAAATGGGACTTTGATTTAGTGAGGATTTTATGTTGCACAGCCTTTGCCTATAACTTATTGCACGAGGTGTCTTATGTAGTGTTTTTTGCAAGGAGGTGAAATGAGATGGGTTACTGTACTACCATTAATGTTTTGTGGTGATGAAATATGTCATAAGAGGAGAATGATCTTTGCTGAAAGCAAGACCTTCGTGATTCCTCTTTTGGTCATTTAAGTGTTATTTTATTATAACTGCTGAATTACCTGGTGATTTATTATAACCTTGGGTGGTTTTATCTTAAGTTTTGTCTTAGAAATATTTAGGTAACATTGATATTTCTGCTTTATTCTCACCAAAGAATTGTGATTTCCTCGACAAGAGTAAAAAGGGAAAAAAGTGAAAAGAAATCACAAAAGTATATGGATGATATCAAAGTGTTATATTTTATGTATATGCTTGATTGTGAATCTGGAGGTATTTATTTTGCCAGAGTTTTGTAGATCTTGATTTTACAAAGCTATTCACAAGGTTTTATTTTTTCTTTTGCATAATTTGAGGTTGGAATTTGCAGGTGAACTGGTAATCATTGCATGATGAGGGACAAGAAAGAATACAAGTAAAAGCAATATTAACATGGTTTCACTCATCTGCTTCTCTTACATGTTGGCTATTTGAGAAGGTTTTCGATTGTAATTTTGGAGGTATTGGTTTGCAAGCTCTGGACCTCGTGATTTTTCAATGTCCATGGGTTTGTTCTTCTTATTGCATAATTTGTGAGGTTGGAATTTGTAATTCTTTGGTGTGTAAAATTTTTGGCATTAGTGTTAGCTCTCCTTTGTCACATAATTTATGAGTAGGATTCCATGTAAAACTGCTGTGATCATTCCATCTCTTAAAAGTTTGAATGTCTAATGCTTTTTTTGGCCCTTTTCTCATTCAATGCTCAGAATCATCTTATTTTCACTTCAATATAATGCCGCCATTACACTTCCTCTTATTTTTGTTCTGAACATAAATTTCCTTGAGCTTTGCTTATAATGTAGCCAAGTAAGGGGACTATTTGAACCATTAAAGTCCACTCTTGTTAGCTCTCCCATGAGAAGATAGCATGCAGTTGTAGATCAAGCAAAGTTGCATAGGATCATTGCTTGGCATACTTAAGAGTCATGCTAGAATCTAGTTGTCTTGTCATTTCCAACAACAAACCTGATATATTTGGAAATGTCCTCCCACCACTTCTTATAAACTTCCAAAATCTTGATCCAGACGACACACTACTTTGAGCACTACTCACCCCTGACACACTGGCACTTCCACATGTTTTCTCTACAATGTCTCTCTTAAGACATTTCTGATCCCCTCCGAAGTTCTCCACAAACGTCTTCAGAGCTTTATTGGAAAACCAAAGGTGCCTAATCCCCAAATCACTTTACAAGGAGATAAATATATTGATATCAGCCATTACTTTTGTGGCACCCCTTACAATAAACGATTAAATTTCTCATTTCTTTAATGCATTATTTCTTTTGATGTTGTTTCGTCATTTCACTATCGCTTTTCAAGTGAGTATAGAAGTAGCTATAAGATAGAGGTTATGAATTTATTTTGTTTTGGCATTCTACTATTCTTCCATTGTTTCTATGATATTAGGTTAAATATCAAAGGAAAATAGCAATCATAGGAAACACTTAAAAGGATGAATGTTAAATGGTTTGGCAAAAGGATGAATGCTTTTGTCTGATGTAACTAGGAAAATTTGTCACAAGAGAAACACTTAAAACAAGCATCACATAATCTATAGATTAGTTGTTTAGTAACACGTCTCCGACTGGTAAGATGCATCATAAAGAAGTATCTGTAGTACTCATTTATACCAATCCAGCCAGCTTTTGACTGATCTCCCATAATCTACGTGCCTTCTCTGCATCACTGGCTTCTCTAGAGAGCTTGTTTTCAAATAAGGCAGAGTTCTTGTTCCAGCTCCGGTATACACCCGATTTTGTTAAGGTTGGATCGCTCACTACCTGAAACACGAAGGATGGTTTAGTTGGTGTACTACTCAGAACTAAGTTAATAGCTTTCTCTTGTGAAAATTTTAACTGACCTGTGCAAGTCTTTTCCCAGCTTCCTCTTCAGATACATAACCTTTGGTGATGTACTTTTGGAAGGGGGGGAAGAGTAGCCTGAGCAAGGGGATATGCTCCCTGAACAAGCCTGTGGTAGCAATGCAACCGGGGTAGAGGGAAGCAAAGGTGATTCCTGTCTCCTCGTAGTAGCATCTGTGGAACTCTTGCATGGTGAGCATATTGCAGACTTTGCTGTCCTTGTAGGCCTTGGCACCATCAAAGTCACCCCCATCTATCATGGGTGAGCGTTTAGCCCATTCAAGCCTCCTGCAAGTCCCCTCAGATCCCCAAGGTTAGCCTTTGGAGGCACATTCCCAGCCAAGGTGTTTGTGTTTCCTGAAGTTCAAGTTAGAATACAACCATATTTAGAACATTTATTCTGCTTATTATAGCCCGTTTAGATATATACATGATTGTTATTTCTAAAAAACAAGATATATACATGATTGTTATTTCTAAAAAACAAGATATATACATGATTGTTTTTGTTTAGCCAGTTTTTAGTTAGGAGAAGAGTTTAAGGGTGAAACACGTTTTTAGTTAGGACTAGAGTTATAAGAGTAAAGGAGAGCAGTTATTTCTCTGACACTCCATTGCTCAGATAGAAGAATAGAAGTATTACGCTGAGAGAAGTGAAAATTTATGAGGCACCTGCATCATCCTTCAAATTGTTCCTGCAAATTGCACAGGAAACTCTTGTCATTTTTCAGGAAGGACAATGTTTCCTTTTTTACTTGGAGTCTCACGCTAATATAACAGAACCTGAATTATGTGAGACTATTATATAGCTTAAAAATTCTAGTGAATACTGCAACAGTTCCCTTTAGCCCAACTCGCATGCATGTTTGCCTTACCTTTATTCTCATTTATCATTATTCTAGGCTCTGTTTGTTTCAATGTAAAACATTTTCCGGAATTTGTTATTGCATTTTCTGGTGTTTGGTTATCCTAAAATAAGTAAAATATTTTACCGATTTCTTGCAAAAACGACTTACCTAAGAAATTTTGGCAAGTCATTTTATCAACCAACATATTGACCCCCCCCCCCCACCCCCCCCCCCCCCCCCGCGGCCCACCACACACACAAAAAAAAAACCTAGGCCATAGACAACTCTCTCTTACTAAAACCTTAGACCATAGCTGACTCTCTCTTCACTCTAAAACCCTAGACCATAGCCGAATACTCTCCTTCATTGTTGGGAAACCATAGGAGAGCTTGAAATATTTCCACTTTCATTCATCTTCATCCTCTTCGAAAATAGTTACGAACTTTATATATTTGTTTATATCTTCATATTCAGTTCAGTTATGTTTTGAATTTTGTTGGGTTTGTGTTTGCTTTGATTTTTGGGTTAGTGTCAGAGATATCATTCGAGTTAATTTTTTATAAGTCATTGCTCTCTGTTCAGTTATGTAATTAATATTGTTGAAGATTTTAACTCTTGAATTTTGTATTGTGTTTATTCGATGTGTTTCATAGGATCTAAATTGTTGATTTTTTGTAGCGAAATGCACAAAGCTAGTTAGAAGTAGGGCTGCAAATGAACCGAGCTGAGCTTTGGGTTGCTCGGCCTCGGCTTTCCAAACTCTGGGGCTTGCTCAGGCTCGGCTCATACTTAGACGAGCTTGGTTAGGCTGAATTTGGGCTCGGCTCATCTTGGTTCACACAGGCTCGGGCTCGGCTTGTGATGAGCTCGTTTGTTCATTATTTCACACACATATATACAAAATCACGGCGAGAATATATATATATATATGTACACACACGAAAAATCAGATATATATACACGAGAAACAATTTTTATATAAATTTATGTACATATTACTATATATATATATATACACATGTAAAAGAATTTGATTGTTTCTGAGTTCTTCCTCCGCCTCTAATTTCTCAACCACAGCGTCATCAGCTTTCTGCACTTGTGGGTCTTCATCCTCATAGTTGCAGAAAGATAAAAGGGGAGTGAGAAAGAGATAAGCTCCGCATCATAGAGGCTAATTCGGAGAGACTCAGAGATCTGACAGAACGATGGAGATGCCGCTTTGGGGTTATTGCCATTTAGGGTTTCAAGAGATGTTATATCTTTTTGTAGGGTTTGGTCATTAGATTCATTGTAATCTGATGGTTGATAACTAATAGTGTTATTATGGTTATGGGCCTTAACATAGTTGGGTTTGAAATATATGTGAGTTTGGGCCTAACTTATCACATATGGTCGTAAACTTCAAATTTAGGAATCTGAAATATAGTGAGCTTAATAAATGAGCTTGTTCATGAGCCTGGTGAGCTGAGCTCACCAATGCTCAAGCTCGGCTCGTTTAGTAAACGGGCGTAAAAAATGAGCTCGAGCTCGGCTCGTTTACTAAATGAACGAGCTTGAGCTGAGCTCTTAACGAACCGAGACTGAGCTGTTCATGAATAACTCGGTTCATTTGCAGCCCTAGTTGGAAGATTAGCACATTGTCAGATCAATTTTTTGTTTTTTTTCCTCTTCCACCTTTTCATTACTAGGGCGTTCATATTCTGAAGAAGATAAAATACAGTTAACAAACTACTTATTAATGTGTATGCATTTGCATGTTTCAGTCATCCATTTAATTTAATTTCATTTTTTTTTTTATATATTTTTCCATTAAATCATTGGTTGATTATTTTTATTTTTTTTCCATTTACTTTTTGAATTTGATTTATGCTCAGGAAAAATTTGATTTAAGCTCCTTTTGTTGGTGGTTTGTGTTGGTTCTTATGACAATCTGCACTTTTACACATAAATCTAAAATAACACGTTTGCTATTCTTTTTGTACAAACATTAATCCAGTTCCAATTTGCTGCTTAACCTGTGTTTATTAACAAATTGCATCTAGATATTGCCCAATAATCAACCTGATCTTACCTCTTCTTCCTCCACTACCCCCGTGGCTACGAATCGTCTGGTTCGTAACGTTTTTTTAGGTTACCGGTACCGAGACTCACCGGTCAATACTCAGGCAGTGTCAGCCGTTACAGCTTTGAAACAAGAACTGGCCAGTTCTTATGTTAATTAAAACTAATAGTTACCAACAAGTCAGTGGAGACATGTGTATGTGAGTCCAACTAAGAAAAAAAAAACTAATAGTTGAACCGCCAACCTCTTTGGGAGAGCCAGGCAAATTACTTTAAAATGGGCTGGCCCATCTCACTTATATTATGTCAACTTTGCTTTTATCTTACCTCATTTTAGTTAGTTCAGTATCCCCATTTTTTATTTAACAATATTTTCTCTATATTTACAGCATGTTTGCATTTAGCCAGTAGAAAGATAAAAAAAAAATGTCAGTCTTATTATTATTCTGAAGGGGGTCTAGAAAAGCACATGTAGCCTAACTTATACGAGACAATACATCATTTAATTGGTGAATGATTGATGAATGATGGGTAATGAAAGGACTCTTAAGTCTGATTAATTAATCCTTTGACAGTTCGATATGTAGAGGTATATTGGCAGCAGATCTTCTAGTATGGTTTGGCTTGCTATTGTTCAATGATTCAATCTGCTCTTGGATAGTAATGGTGATTTTCTACATTTTCCTTTTATTTGTAGCCCTTGTTTTGGGTTGGTTTGTGCTTCTTGGATTGTGTCTGCTGTTTTTTTTCTTTTGACATGAGGTTCTATGTTAATTCGTTTGGATTTTTTGCTGATTATGGCTCCTTTCAGTTTTTTTAGTGCCAGTTGTGTTGGTTGTTGCATTCTGATTTTTGTTTGGCCCTTGGTTTCCTGCAGATTCTTCTTCTGAATTCTCACTTGGTTGCTGTTATTATTTTGTATATATAAATTGCTCTTGCTGTACTGCAACATCTTTTATTTTGTACACATTAGTTCTTTAGTTGCTTTTAGTCCTTATTTTAGATTCTATATAGTTAATATTAGTTCTTTAGAGTTTCTCTTGGTATTAATTATAATTATATACTTTGGTAGGGTTTCAGATATTTTGCTTTACAACCGTATCTGTTTTTTTTTTTTTTTTTTTTTTTTCTCGCTCTGTTTTAGCTTTGTTTACCTGTTACCTATACTTTAAAGTGTGCTAGATATGTCTTACGTGAATAATTAAGGTGGTAAAAGCTTTTTTGTTATTTCTTTGTTGTTCTGTAGTCAGTAGTCAGGAACTCCAAAGCATATATACTGAAGCAACTTTTGATGATTTTCTGGTTTTTAACATAGGAATAGACTTTCTTATCGTATGTTCAAAATATTATTTACTTTCAAGTAAGAACTCTTATTTCTAAGCTGACTGAGAAGAAAATTTCTGTTTTTCAACAAAAAACAAGCTTTAGCAAGAACTAGCGAGGGTTTTGTATACTTCAGCCATGATCTTTGCTGCATCTCTTTCTTCTATCAGAATCATGGATCACTTTTCATTATTGGTTTCTCATTTTATTTTTGTTCGCCGAGTTTCTGAACTTTTCATATCCTTAGCACCGGGCATCTATCCCATTTGTTTATCTTTATATGCCTAACCATGTTAGTCTGGTAACCAATTTTTTTTTTTTTTCTTTGATTCTTTCTGGGGCATTGTTGATGGCCAACAGTTTAAATAGCCATATATATGGTTTCATCTTGAATTGCTATGTGAACAAATAAATTGATACCATGTACGATATTATATTGTTTTGATCTTTTTTTTTACTGATCTATTTTGAGCATTCTGTCTCTCATATTTACAGGCTAGTAATCCTAATAATTAATATACTTACAAAAAGAAAATCTTCCCTGATGTCTGATACTTGATACATGGGTTTTGTTTGAATTAGATCTCAAAGTTGTGTTAATTTTGCTTCTATTCATGGTTTAATAGGAACTAGACCTAGTTTAAGTGAACTTTATCATCAATCTTATTATTGAACTTTGAATTTATTTTAATTTTTCTATCTTTGACAGTTATTTGTGCAGCAAAATTTTTTTCTTTTTCGTTAGCATGTAAATGGGTTTTCTTTGTGACAATTATAATACTTCATGTATGTCTCAATGAGACCACTTAAGTTTGCAATGTGGTCTTATTGAATTGGTTAGAAACCTGAGTGTGACTCTATTGGTGAAATAATATCTGTCCGGCTGCTCAGCTAGCTAGAGAGATTTTTTGGTTGGGATTGGACTGATTAATCTATTTCCTTGCATGATGTTTCTAGTTTATGTTTTGCTGTTTAAGTCCGTCTGAGGCTCTCTCTTTGTGGGTGCATGGGTGCTTTTTGATGCATTTCCTATGTGAATGGTGTTTTTTTGTTCCCTAGTTTATGGGAATGGGTTTTCTTCATTTTTTTGGTGGATCTCTTTAGTATGCCTTATTTGGCCAATATTATACACCCATTAATGAAAAAAAACGAAGGACAGCTGCATTGCAAACGAGCACATCAAGTGGCACGTTCGCTTATTTTTATTTAACAGAAAACCATGAAATATAACAAATTTATTGAATTATATTATATT